GGGTGATTCTTTAGTGAATTTTAAGGGTACTTTGATATATGAACCATGGGCGACTTCGGCTCCCCTAAGGAGCTACACCCCTCTAAAAATGGCGGAAAATTTTGGTTTAATTTTTCTTTCTCAAGAACCATAAACGCTAGGAAAATGAAATTTGTAGAATATGTTTAAGTCATAATAGGGCACGTTTTGACCCTATTTGTACTTTTAACCTACCCTTGTAAAGTACTAAACGTAACCACCCCCGTTCAATTTATGCCTAGAATTTTTTTTATGAAGATGATAAATACATTGGAAAAATTTCAGTTAGATAGATAAAACTATTCTAAAACTTTTTTGTCTCTCTGATGTTCTTCTAAAATTTACTAATTTCTGAGAAAAAAAAAAATTAAGCAAACACTAACTGTTAAGCTATAGGGTTGTTAATCGAAAGTTGGAATAAATTTTAAATGAAAAAATCATAGTAGGCTTTGCAATCTTTGTCAGAAATATTTTTGACGTTTAAATGTCAGCGGTTTTATTACTTTATTATTGTTTTATTTAAAATTTTGAAACGTCGAGTGAACGAGCGTAAATGCGATAGAACTTTATTCAAAAATTAATTCGAAAAACAATAATAATAGTAAGAAAAACTGATATTTAAACGTCAAAAATATTTCTGATAAAGATTGCAAAGCCTACTAACAAGGGAAGTATCAGAACTGTCCCTCACCGATTTTGTTGAAATTTAGTACAGCGATAGTATGGCCAAAAATAAGGTTTACGTATTTTTTATACGTGCTAATAAAGCCCCTGGGGCGAGTTATAAGGGTTGGAAATCAGGGCGAAATATATATATTCGCTTATAGGCTGAAAACGAAAATAGTAATCGAAATTTGGTAAATGTAAACTGATATTCATTTTCAAAGAGCTTTCCATTGATATATCACACATATATCTGAGGGCTTCAGGGGGTAAACTACCCCTAGTTTTTTGGAATATTTTAAAAACTACGCTGTCGATTTTCGCGATATCATCTATTCTAATAGTACGTTTAAAAATATTAATGACGTGTTTTTTCTTATTTGCCTCTGACCATCCTCTGCAAAGTTACGGGGTATGATAGATAACACCTTTCCTTAATAATGTAATAAACTGTTACACTTTTGAACAATATTTTGAAGAAAACCATTAATTAGATGTAAATTAAGATTTACGCAGTAAATTAAACTCTATACGACATTAAGGGGTGGCTGGGGTTAACTACCCTAACCACCCCAAAAATTTTTTTTTTTGCGAAAATTGTTTGTCGATTTTGGTGCAATTTACCACGATGATTTTTTTATACGTTAGGTAGTACTATTGTAAGAACTTACAAGGGTTAGAAGTTTGGGGTAGAAAATATATTTTCGCTAATAACTTTCATACTCCTACAGAAAAAGCTTTTTTATCCTTATTCTATTTTAATAACACAAAACTTAGGATAATTATATAAATATTTATTAATAATGAGTTAAAAAGCAACTGAAAAAAAAGTTTTTTTTAATTTATTTTTATTTAATGTATTGTTGACAATCATTGTTTCTATCAGTTGTGTTAAATCTGAGGGTATTAAATACAATGTTCAAAGGAGATAACATATTCGTTTATGCATCAAAGTCATCTAAACTGACTTCTGCTCATATAAAAAATTGGCTACAAAATCTCTATTTCCCAAACACCGGACCCAAATCATTACTATTACTGGATTCTTGGAGAGGCCACTGCCCTGAAATTATTAGTAAAGTAACTCCATCAGATATTAAGTTTAAATGTTTGTCTATACCTGCAGGGACAACAGGTCAAATTCAACCCCTGGATGTATTTGGTTTTAGAACATGGAAAAATTTCATTAGAAGATTTTCTGATCAAGTTATTCTCTACCAGTACGATGTCAATTTGTATCAGCGAGATAATATTTTAAAATTGCAATCCTTAACGCATAACCAGTTGTCTNTTACGGGCAGTGTTTTAAATATTTTTTTTCTCAAAAATTAGTCGTTTTTGGAAAAATTTTTGAGAGACAAAAAAGTTTTAGGATACTTTCATCTATCTATGTATAATTTTTCTAATGTATTTATCATCTGCATAAAAAAAAAATTAGCAAAAATGTAAAGGGGGTGGTTACGTATAGTAGTTGAGAAGGGTAGGTTGAAAGTACAAATAGGGTCAAAACGTGCCCTATTATGAGTTAGACATATTCCCCAAATTTCATTTTCCTAGCATTTATGGGTTTTGAGAAAAAGAAATTAAACCAAAATTTTCCGCCATTTTTGGAGGGGTGTAGCTCCTTAAGGGAGCCGAAGTGGTCCATGGTTCATATATCAAAGTACCCTTAAAATTCACTAAAGAATCACCCTTGAAGTTTGTTGCAGTCATTCAGATACACCCTGTATAGTACAAGTCTGCGTTTGAAAGAAATTCCTAACTTAATTGGTATAGGAGCTATGGATGCCAGACGCACTGTTGCAGGACCCTGTATAGGGTTGTACAAAAGATTCATCTGTTTTTAAAACGCTACATTTTCAAAACTATTACACCTATAAACATGAATAAAATGTCAAAATAACCAGAAACTCTACAAGATTTTTTGCACACACATTTCTGTGGAGACCGCATGGAACTATCCTTCACTAATTCCATTGTTTCCAAGGAGGAATTTTCCATATTCTCTTCTGAAAGCGCGTTGTACTGTTACAATTCGCAAATTCTAAGACACAAAAACATTTTTCCTGCTTTGTTGTTACATTGGAAAATACTAAAAGATTATATTATAATTTGCGATTATTTTGATAGATCATTCCTGTTTGTAGATATGATAGTTTTGAAAATATAACCTTTAAAAACGAATGAATCTATTGTGGTAACGCTGTATAATGGCCAAGATATTTCCAATTTGTACAATAAAGTTGATTAAAAACAAAATTCTAATAAAGAAATATTAATTTTCCTTTTTGTTAATTAATACTACAATGAAATTGCCTTACCAAAACATCTTTAACGCCCAATTCATTCCTTGGTACAACCGAAACACTCCTATTCTTATTAGAAGTTCCAGGTTCCTCCTCCAATCGCATCCGTTTAGCAGCCGGACCAGCAGAATGACTCCTCTTCTTAGTTTTCGTGAAATGCGCGTTTTCACTTCCGGACATATCAACCCCCAAATCTTCCATTTGCGATCGCAATTTCGAAACGGAACGATCCCGACCTTTCGGAGCCGTTGTGCGTGGCAAAACGGGTTTCCTACTTTGTTTAAGAATGCGACTTTCATCTTTCAGGATCGCCTTTTTATTACGAATTTGCAAGGCGAGTTGTTTAATTTGTTTCATTGTATCAGTAAGTTCGATTTTCGGAGTTACATACATTCCTGTTTCTTCTCTGAGGTCCTCTTCTTTTTCTAATTCTTCTAATTTCTAAATAAAAAAATTATTTTTTACATTTCATAAATTAATTCAGTATAAAAAGATATTTACATCAAAGATTTCAGGATCAATATAATCAGCAATGTTATGTCCTTCCCATATTTCTGGGATAATATCGTATCGTTCCTCTTCTGGAATCTCAGTGTAATGTTTCTTAAGGTCCAAAATGTAATCATCTCCTTCTTCCAATTCAATATCTCTCTCCAATTTTCTTTTGCGTTTTTCCCCAGTTTGCATTTTCTTTTGTAAAACGGCGTCTGGGATACAAGGGGCGCGAACTTTATCATCTCTTGGTTTAGGCATGGCTACATGAAGCCGATTTAAAACACCATCAACCTTCTTGGTTCTCATTTTTTGATTAACGCGGAAACTCAATAATTTTTCGCAAGCAAACGATTTCACCTCCATAACACCAAAATCAGTTACTGTGGACATTTCTAAGATGGGAACTTCCGCGTCATCTTCCATTTCTTTTAAAAGCGTTCGTTTTTCAGGGGATAATTCATCAAGTTTTACAATATCATTTTTATTTAATACAATCATTAAAGGTTTGTTTGAAAATAAAGGTTTTATGCTTTGATAGAGACTAATTTGTTGATCTAAAGTATGCCCACATTGCTCTGATAAATCCATAAAATATAAAACGCAAGCTCTAAGATGAGCTAAAGCTGTTACAGCTTGCATTTCAATAACATTTCGTTCTTCTAAGGAATGATCTAAAATTCCTGGAGTATCAATTACTTGCCAACGTAAATATTTGTAATCAGTATGACCAACATATAAAGATTTAGTTGTAAAAGCGTATGGTTGAACTTCTACATCAGCTCGAGTTATTTTATTGATGAATGATGATTTACCAACATTTGGGAATCCTAAAAAATTAATTAAATTAAAAATATTACGTTTTATAACTATAAATATTACCGCAAATTAAAATAGTTCTTGTGTAAGGATCAATTGAAGGTAAACGAGCCAAATGTTGCCTCACTTGCTCCAAATAAGTTAAATTTGCACCTTGCCTTTTCATTATTGTGGCCATTCTTCCCAAAGCAGCCCTTTTTAGTTGTTTACATCGATATAAAGAGTCCCCATACTTCATAAGTCGGACATAATCTTTTGCAACACTAAAAACAATTAATTTTTTTAATAAAAATTTAATTCTAACAATCAAAAAATACACACTTATCAATTAAATGTCTTGCAGTATTAATCTGCCCCAAAGCTAATTTATAATGATCCTTATCATACAAAACATTCATTAAATCTGCATAAAAAGGGTGCACATCATCCAATTTGGGAAACTCAGTTAATATTTGTGTTAAACGATCATGGAAACTTTGTTGGGAAAATTTAACTTTTCGCATATAAAACGCGCGTATCCGCGTGATTTTATAATGTTTATGAACGACCGTCGGCGTTTTTCTTTGAGTTTTCGATAAAATTATATCGATGAAGTCCTGGAAAAAGTGAGGTTAGAATCGGTTTTTGTTGAATATCTTCTAAATTAAAGATTAAATCGTTACGTACCTTTGCGGTTGGAACAACCGCGATTTTTTTGAAATTATACAGCGACATTTTTGCGTTGTATTAATAAATGTTGATAAATAACTTAAAAAAACCGATTAAATGTCACTAATGTCAACGGCACCACGAGGTTGCACGTCGAAAAGGATTATTATTGCGACATCTGGTGTAGTAATCAATAAATAGGAATCTGTAAATATTTAATTTATTTTTTTTTGTTATTTATAATTATTTATATTGGTGCTATTTTAGTAAAATATAAGAAAATTAATTTTTAATTCGTATCTAATGCGTTTATAAAAATTGTGCCAAAATTAAAGCTTTTTTTATTATTTGGTTGCGTTTATCGTAATGTGGCATTTAACTAATAGATGGCTCTAAAATAGCTTTTTAAATTTGAATTTGAATTTTATTTCTTAATTAAAAACGATGTTAATTAAAAATGATTTAATTCTTAGAAAAATATCTTGTTAAAGCCACAAATAAAACCCTACAACTTTTGTAACTTTATAAGTATACGGTTTAACAAATTACACCTAAAATTCCAATACTTGACACATTTAGTGCTATATTGTACCCATTATTTTATTTTTGGTTGAAATCCTCAACCGCCCTTTTCGGTCTCTTGGAACTCGACGGGATTCTATTGTGTGTTTCTTTGGGGACAGTGGAAATTGGTCGTTAAACGTCAATAGACAAGACAAATATTAGGCTACCATTCGCCACAACGACTTCCCCAAACCCCTTTATTTGATGGACGTATTTCTTTACGATCCCAATTCGAAGTAAACTCTGTTTAAAAAAAAATTTAAACCAATCTTTATCTATATTCTATTTCTTAATTCGTAGGAGTACAATGAAAGGGGGTTTTAAAACCAGAGAGGATTTTAAGTAAACTGTAGCTACGAATTTAATTACATATTTGTTTAAACATAATAAAAACCAGAGCATAAAATATCACTATGTTATATATTTTTGTTGAACTAAAACTAGAACTATCACTAGAACTAACACAAGACCAAGAACTAGAATCATTCGGGTTTAGCCGTCTTGAGAGACGTGCGGATAAACCCGAATGTTTCTAGTTCTAGGTCGAGTGTTAGTTCTAGTTTTACACTAGCACTAAAACTAGAACTAACACAAGACCTAGAACTACAATCATTAGGGTTTGGCCGTCTTGACAGACGTGCGGCTAAACCCGAATGTTTCTAGTTCTCGGTCTAGTGTTGGTTCTAGTTTTACACTAGCACTATCACTAGAACTAACACAAGACCAAGAACTAGAATCATTCGGGTTTAGCCGTCTTGAGAGACGTGCGGCTAAACCCGAATGTTTCTAGTTCTCGGTCTAGTGTTGGTTCTAGTTTTACACTAGCACTATCACTAGAACTAACACAAGACCAAGAACTAGAATCATTGGGGTTTAGCAATACTGAGAAATGTGCGGCTAAACCCAACATCTCGAATTTTCCTAGTGTAATTTTTTGTTAAGACTAACCAATAGCAACCCTTCTTTTTGTCGCTTCAATTTGAAAACACTTCTCCGAATTAAAAAATACAGTACAACAAAATATCATAGTTGTCAAAACAAATTTAATTCCAAAATGTAATTTGGATGTTGATGGATATTCTCCGCTCTTGACACTTACTCGTTAATAATGCAACATCATCAGCAAGTCAATTATAGTGTGAAGTGAATTGAGTCAAAAAAAAATCGTTGAATAATATGTTAGGGGTGAATTGAACGGGAATGAGATAGGGATTACTTCGGTGTCGGAAAGAGTAATTTTTATCAATTAAATCGTTACATGCCTTGGGTAAAAAGGGGGGAAAAGGCGGCAATACGGAACGATGACAAATAGACGCCTTTTTCGCAACAAGAGGATTTACACTTTTATTGGGGTTTATTCCCCGATGCCCTATTACCAACGGTGGGCCCCATTGTACACGATGAACTCTCTCTAAGCCGTAGGGTTAAACGAACCTGTTCCGGGGCTTTTTTCTCTCAATTTTTTTTCAGCACAATTATTATACGGACATGTGTTCATCCGTAATAATTAATGTCACAGTGGCAGTAGAACAGTTGGGATTTTTTATCCATAAAGATTTTATAGCGTTATGATGAACTAAAATGAAATTTTATTACGACTTAAATAAAAAATTGATTTTTTTAATGCAATAAACTCTATCTGTTTTGATTTGATTGGTGATGTTATTTTTATGGGATTGTTGATGTTCAATGTTCGCTTTTTATCTCCAGTTAATATATTTGTCGTTATCTTCTTAGCTTGGGGGTTGATATTCGAGCTTTTATTTTGGAGATAATGGAGATTTTATCTGAAATGAACGAACGAATGAGTGAACGACGGAATGGGAATTTTTCGATTAATCCAAGTTGTTAGGAGGAGCTTTAATGCCCTTGTTATTAATCTTTTCGGAGAATCAGAGAAATAACAGAATTTATTAAAGATAGCAAATCTGTAAAACAAATAATCAATGGTTTTAGTGCTTAAAATATTTAGAAATGTTTGGATTGCAAACGAATAGAAAAGAAATAACATAACTCAACTCTACATATTTGAATGTTATAGATTTGAAGATTAGAAGAAGCATTTTAAAGCAAATTTAATGAACTTTCATGTTATGATTTTTTAGCTCATCTTTGCATATTTGATTGTTATAGATATGAAATGTTAAATTTAAATAATTGTATTTTAAGGGTAAATTAAGATATCATGATAAAATAAAAAGCGTCTTAAAGCAAATTTTATAAAGATTGTATGTGCAATAAATAATTTCTTATTTTCCATAAACTCTGTTGTTATGATTTTTCTAAACTCAACTCTTCAATTTGAAAGCTATGAATTTGAAGAGTACAACTCTAAAACGTTATATCTCATGATCGAATTGAGATATCATGATGACATGAAAAGCATTTTAAAGCAAATTTAATGAAGATTGAACGTGAATAATTTCTTATCTTCTATAAACTTTCATGTTATGATTTTTTAAGCTCATCTTTGCATATTTGATTGTTATAGATATGAAATATTAAATGTAAATGATTGTATTTTAAGGACAAATTAAGATATCATGATAAAATAACTAATAACTAATAAAATAATCACTAATTCATTAATGACTCTCTATTATACGTATGTATTTAACATTTTGAATTATTGCACTGTTGTATGGAATCCACAATATAATATATTTGTGGAACGACTAGAGCGTGTCCAAAAGAGATTCGTTCGTTTTTTATGCTGGAAATCTCATACTACCTATGCTGACTACAACTCGGCGTGCTAATCTTTCCACTTGTTACGACTCGGCCAACGGCGACTTGCTGATGATATAATACTTTTATATAAAATAATTCATAATATTTATAAATCATCCTCGCTTACATCACTGATTAACTTCCACGTCCCGCCCAGATCGCTTCGTTTTGATTTTCTGTTCTTTACTACAACTCCGCGCACTAACTCCTATCAGCATTCGCCATTGCTGCGCTCTGCTCGCTCTGCTGACCGTCTTGCCATTGATATATTTGCGTACGATTCCTTAATCTCCTTTAAAAGAGCGACCCTTGCTGCTGTTGGGAACATGCCGTATATAGATTAATTTATATAGATTGATTTATACTTACAATTAGTTCTTGTCCTTTCACGTGCTGATTGTTAGATACCTCGGTTTTTTTCTTTTTTTTTCTGTTATTTTTGTTAAATTACTTATGCAATTTGAGACACTGATTTAAGTTTTTTTGTGTCCTTTTTTTTCTTTCTTATTGTATTTTTTTAGTGGCACAGCTTGAATTGGGTTTGTCCTGTGCTGTGTCCCGTGAGCGTAAATAAATAAATAAATAAAATAAAAAACGTTTTAAAACAAATTTTATGAAGATTGTATGTGCAATAAATAATTTCTTATTTTCCATAATGTCTGTTGTTATGATTTTTCTAAACTCAACTCTTCATATTTGAAAGTTATAAATTTGAAGAATACAATTCTAAAACGTTGTATTTCAAGACCTAATTGAGATATCGCGATGAAATGAAAAGCATTTTAAAGCAAGTTTAATGAAGATTGAATGTGAATAATTTTTTATCTCCCATAAATTTGCATGTTATGATTTTTAAGCTCATCTTTGCATATTTGATTGTTATAGATATGAAATATTAATTTTAAATAGTTGTATTTTAAGGACAAATTGAGATATCATGATATAATAAAAAGCGTTTTGAAACAAATGTTATGAAGATTGTATGTGCAATAAATAATTTCTTATTTTCCATAAACTCTGTTGTTATGATTTCTCTAGGTTATATCTCTATGTTATAGATTTGAAGATTAGAAGAAGCATTTTAAGGCAAATTTAATGAACTTTCATGTTATGATTTTTTAAACTCATCTTTACATATTTGATTGTTATAGATATGAAATATTAAATTTAAATAAATGTAATGTGTTTAAAAACAAATTTTTCTTAGCCCCATGGTTGCTGGACACAATTAAGCTTATGCAGAGAACTAGAGACGATGCTTTTGCTTGGTTTAAGAGGTGTGGAACCAAAGACCTGCGGATCTTTATCGTTCCAATTCAGTCGACTCTTTATATCTAAATAATAGACTTGTTCAGTCAACATTTTCCTTTAGTCCAGTTACAGAGTGTGATGTTATTTGATACATATACTTAATACTTGTATAAACAATGCCGTATTCCCAGACACATGGAAGTGTGCTTTGATTAAACCACTGTTGAAAACTAGCAATCCTACTGAGTTTACTCATTTAAGGCCTATAAGAATTCTTCCAGTTTTGTCTAAGGTGGCTGAAAACATTTTTATTTTTCAGCTGAGAAAATTTATTTATAAAAATAATATTTTGCTAGAGACACAATCAGGCTTTCAGCCTGGATATAGCTGTAGCGCACTAGCTACTTCATATTGTTGATGATACTGTTTCTGGCCTAGATAGGGAAATGCGACCTTATAATGTCTTTTGGACTTTTCAAAAGCCTTTGATGCCATTAACGATTTGTTGTTTTATATTTTAAAGTTTGTTGGTTTGGACGACCTGGCAAGTGCATTGTTACGTGATTATTTAAGAAATCCTAAGAAAATGAATCCTAAGATGCACTCTATTTGTCATCCGGTGTTCTGCAAGGCTCGGTACTTAGACCTCTTCTTTATACTATATATACGAGTCAGTTTGTTACATACATAAAATATTGTAAATCTCATTTTTATGCTTATGACACCCAGTTGTATTATTCATTGCTAGTGAACGTATTAATGAGGATTTGCAGAGTGTGGTCGATTGCTCTAGAGTCTAGACGTCTTAGTCTTTGGATAAATGATGCGAAAACTGAAATAATTCTCTTTGCACCTCAGTGGCAAAGACAAAATATACTTGCTCAACTTAAAATGTCTGTAGATAATACATATGTCCTTCTTAAGGAAGAAGTAAAAAGCCTTGGGTTAATTATTGACAGCAATCTTTCTTTTTCTCTTCATTTGTTTATTATTTGGTTAGTGTTGAAGTATGTGCAGGTCTCTTGTGTTAAGTTTTTGAGTGCTGCTGTTTTCTTTTTGTTGCTATTGTTTTTTATTTTCTTTTTTTGGTGTAGTTGAAAAGCGGTTTTCGACCGAACTGCGCCGTTTTTCCTGAAAGAATATGTTTTGTAATAGAAAATCTCTCTGGAATTTGTCTTTCAGGAAAATAAATGCATTATTATTATTAATTATGCTTGTGTTGGTAAGAAAAATCTTTATTTAAAATGATTCTTCAAGCAAAAACATATCTCAATTTTAAACATTTATTTTGTTTAGTTTCAAAAAGTCTATAACTAAGTCAATAATATTAAATAATAAAGTCACTCTAATGTATATACTCAATTGTAAACAACGCTTTATTAAATAAAGTTCCATATAAATTCCTGAAACAAAGACAGCTTTGTTATTCTGCAAAAAATATATATATTCTGCGAAAAACAAAAATATAAAAATTTTACCTGTTTAAAATTCAGAAAAGAAATTTTAAGATTTCTTGATTTATTTGCTGGGATGATTAACACCAAACTCATCGCCACTACTGAAGCAATAACAATCTTCATGATTACCACTCTTTCGCTTAGGAGACTGATTTCTGCTTGATGATGACAAGTTTGAATATGGTTGTTTTTGTCGTTCAGTAATTGCTACCTTAATAATTGGATTTTTTCTGTTCGAATCTTTTTTCACCGGATCACAACACGACGGTTGTTTCTTCTTACTCCCTCTTTGGCTTGTCGTGGTATTCGAACTATTCGCTTGAACTTCCTTATTAGAACATGCCGCCTCACATTTTTTCTTAAACCACGATCCACTGTCTTTCATTCGTTTACGACGCGATAAATTTGGACAACATATTCTTTTTATAACCAAAAGTAATACAACCGTTGGATAAGTATAAAAAAAGAGTACGTTAGCACAAAATTCAGCGGTTGCAGGAAGATTTCGAACTCTTTCTCCGGTTGCTGGATGAACTGGCCAACCCTCAGAGTCATAAACAACATCTCTATCTCTTAATCTTGGTTCATAATAATGTTTCATTGGTTTTGGGAGATCTAAAAGTAAATTTAATCCCCAACTTCCGATCGGTAAACAACATAACCCAATTAATCCTTTTGTTAAACCAAGTAATAAAAGAGTTACAAATATAAATATTATCAAATAAATAGTTATTCTTATAATATCATCTGTACTCATTTCATGTTCTGCATAAATTGTTGTTGGTAAACCACCACGAAATCCCGCCGCGTGAAAATGATCTAGTTTCATTGCAATACATTTTAAACCTTTTGTTGAACCAATGCAAGCACATAAACAATGCCATGTACAAATGCAACGATCTTGCTTTTGAATTCTGATTCGTCTTAAAGCCACTAATTCACCTTTACAATTTAAAGCTTCTACAGAACAATGAAATATATCAACATCAAGTTGATGATAAACGGTTAATTTAAAAATGTGTTGATTTTGTGGTGATATTAAAACTAAATCTGATTTCAAATCATTTAATTGTCCTTTTAAATCTAATGGACAATCACATATTCGCACCATAAATTTACTTGATAATAACCCACCGTTAGTTAATTTGATTGTAATATGGGTTCTTGTTGGACAAGTACTATCAATGTATACTTCTGTAAGAACACCGGTTGATGATGGTCTTAAAACCGCGTTAAAATCAGCGTTAACTTCCATATCAATCATACTAATATATCTTCCATAATAATTTAATGTTAAATATCTTTCGTCACTTGTAACATTTTTCCTAATTGGATTTTTTGCAAGTTTCCCATGATACTTTAAAAAATAACAACCTTTCTTACCGGATCGATCAAGTCTTTTATCATGTAACCACATATGTTTTGGTTGATGATGTAAACAAGTTCCCCTCGGCATTGAACATCGATTTGGTTGTTTAAAGAATGCTTCAAACCCTACCCCAGCCGCATCACATTGCTCTCCAGATAAAATAATCTTTTCAGAATTAACAACTAAATATTCTGGTGGTCCACTTTTAGCTTCCGCATATTTAACCAAATCCGAAACTCTCATCCCTTCCGGTATTAATAATCTCATTTTTCTCCATGCGATACAAAAATTTTCATCGTTATACATCGAATTAAACGTTAACGAAATCGTTGGAACTTCATCTTTGTAATAAGGCGAAAATGTTCCTAAACGAATTTTCTTTCCATCGGTTATATCTTTCCATTTAACTTGACCACATTCGGTTTCATACTTTTCAAAAATTTGAATTACAATTTCCTGTTCAACTAACGGTTTTTCAATTATGTAAACACCGTACCAAACTGGCGAAAATCTTAAACAATGTGCACTTTCGTGATAGGTGTCGGGATTTAAATGCGGTGGGGTATAACGATCAGCGCAATTTTGACCACCTCGTTTTTGAACACCACTAGATTGAACTTGACGTTTGCTATAAATGCTTTCCAAAAGATCCAGATCTTCATCATCTTCGATTGGAGGACCGCTGTTTTCGTCTAAATCACGAATTTGTCTGGGAAAATTCGCGTTATGTGGACCGTTTGGATTTGAATTTCTTGCCAAATCCGGGTTGGATTCAGGTTTAAAGAAGTCAACGGGAGTTAAAATTTTGTGCATTGACGGTTTGTTTAAGTTGATTGCTTGTTGAGTTGGGAGCGATTGAATGTTTGGGTTTTTGGCGGTTTCTTTAGGGTTGGTGTTTCTTGATTTTTGATATTTTTGTGTTTCCATTGGCTGTTTCCCTGTAATTGATAATTGATAAAAGGTGAATATAACATTTAGCTAATTATTTCAGTTGTATTTAATGAAGTATAGAAGTATAGAGTTGAGAGATGCACGGCTAAACCTGAATGTTTATGGTTTTAGGTCTAGTGTTCTATTTTTTTCATTAAGAATATACCACAATCTAACGCTAAATAACAATTAAAACTAGAACTAACACTAGACTTAGAACTAGAAACATTTGGGTTTAGCCGTGCGTCTTTCAAGACGGCTAAACCCGAATGATTTTAGTTCTAGGTCTTGTGTTAGTTTTAGTGCAACACAAGAACTAACACTAAACCGAAAACTAGAAACATTCGGATTTAGCCCCACGTCTCTCAAGACGGCTAAACCCGAATAATTCTAGTTCTTGGTCTTGTGTTAGTTCTAGTGATAGGGGCTAGTGTAAAACTAGAACTAACAGTAGACCGATAACTAGAAACATTAGGGTTTAGACGCACGTCTCTCAAGACGGCTAAACCCTAATGATTCTAGTTCTAGGTCTTGTGTTAGTTTTAGTTTTAGTGCTAGTGTAAAACTAGAACTAACACTAGACCTGGAACTAGAAACATTCGGGTTTAGCCGCACGTCTCTCAAGACGGCTAAAGAGACGTGCGGCTAAACCCGAATGTTTCTAGTTTTGGTCTTGTGTTAGTTCTAGTTTTAGTGAAATAAAAATATGCAACATTAGGTTAGTTTTAAGAAAAAATTACACTAGGAAAATTCGAGATGTTGGATTTAGCCGCACATCTCTCAGTATTGCTAAACTCGAATGATTCTAGTTCTAGGTCTTGTGTTAGTTCTAGTGATAGTGCTAGTGCAAAACTAGAACCAACACTAGACCGAGAACTAGAAACATTCGGGTTTAGCCGCACGTCTCTCAAGACGGCTAAACCCGAATGATTCTAGTTTTAGGTCTTGTGTTAGTTCTAGTGATAGTGCTAGTGTAAAACTAGAACCAACACTAGACCGAGAACTAGAAACATTCGGATTTAGCCACACGTCTCGCAAGACGGCTAAACCCGAATGATTCTAGTTCTAGGTCTAGTGTTAGTTCTAGTTTTAGTGCAATAAAAATATGCAACATAGTGATATATATATCTTATGCTAACTAGTGCTACCTACTGTCACTAGAACTAACATTAGGCCTAGAACGAGAAATATTCAGGTTTAGCCGTCTTAAGAGACGCACAGCTACACGGAATGTTTCTAATTCTCGGTCTAGTGTTAGTTCTAGTGCTAGTGTTAGTCTAGTTGTATTTGTTATTCAGCGCTAGATTGTTGTATATTTTTATTGAGTATTTATATCGCATTGATCCGATATATCGATGTTTTACTGTAATGTCAAATTATATTGACATGTTACATTTTATGTAGGAGAAAGTAATTAGGTACACCCTGGTTTCTATGGAAATATATTTTTGTATATTGCATCTTAAGTAACATTCACTATATGTTAGTATCAATGTAAAGACATCATCAAACGCAAATACTTATTTAAACAGCACCACAATCGTGTCTTTTAGGTTACAGATTATTAATTTAATCAACTGAAGCTCAAATACACAAATATTACATAGTGTCACAATCTCTATCAGCAAAAGTTTTTTAATCTATAAAAATTCGAAGAATAAGATTAACGTTCTAAACTCCTCTATATACACATTTATTCATCCACTCTAAACCGAGTTGAAGCTATTGAAGATCCATAAGCAATCAAACAATCACTCGTTTTGGGTGCATCGGCATCTCAATGATGACATTTGGATTTTTTGAGCCCCAAATGCTGCAACTTTCCTTATTGACATGGCCTTTGATGGGGAAATGGCTTCATCTGAAAAGATGATTTTTCGGTCATAAGACGCATCTTCGACCAAGCGATCTCCATCCCATTGGACGAACCAAAAACGTCATAAGGCTTCAGTTCTTCGATTAATTAAACTATGTAAGATAGCCTACCCTGTAATTGGCGACCTTTTCAAAGTACTCCTTTTCTTCAAAACGGTACTGTTCTATCAACAGCCACAAACATTCTAGAATAATACATCTATCGATGATCGCATCTCTAAATCTACAAATCGTTAGAATACACAAAAAGGTACACATAGTCCTCACTAATCTCCAGAATACCGTCATAATGGATATTCGAAAATCGTGGACCAAGGATAGATTCCTGTGGGCTAACTTCTTTGGCACTGCTTTGGCACCTCAGTACTCCCGCCAAGTCTGATGCTGGTTTCCTCCAATCTCGAAGGACCAACAAATCTTATGCGTCATCGCTCACTGCGTCTTCCCAACATTTCCGTGGCTTTTCCACATGGCTTCTTCCCTGAACTCATGCATTGAGTGTTGGAAAAGCTGATACATCTCGCTGTTGTACCTCATCCTAAACATGTTCCGATCCTAAACTGGTTCCCGGATTCTACACAATACCTTTCTTTCAAAAATGTCAAGTTTATCACTTTCTATTGAACAGGACTCATGTTTCGGTACGATATATCAGAATTGGTGTAATAATTGTATTTTATGTTCTCATTTTTGTTTATCGGCGTAAGTCTTGTGATTTGTATACATGGGCTATTCGAACTCGTTTTATCACAAAACGTAATCCACCAATCCGTTCTAGTACTAAGATGACCAGATTCGTTAAGATGTATATATTAGTTTGTAAGACCAAGCTTTCTAGAAGTCTTGAACTTTCATTAAGCGTGCCGAACATATTCCCAACATCGTCATGCATTCATCTATATTATGATACAAAATATTAGTTCGTGGGAGTCATAGTAAAGTAAATTCACACAAAAAAAAATGCACTTTATTCATTATATAGGACAAAAATTAAGAAAAATTAAATAAAAGTTAAATTTAAGCTACCGTGGACCGAGGCTTACTATGAACCGCTAGTTTATTGCCGGTATGATAATTGATAATAAACAAATATAGTTATTACTTGTGTAACACATATTTTCAACTGTTCGTTTGAACAGTCTATATTTCCGTCAATCTGGCGAATCGACCCATTTCTATTCTATCTACGTTGTCAAAAGCTATTGAGCATTTAGCTTATTTACAGATTCAGAAATATCTTGAGGAGTTTAATCTGATTAACAAGTTCCAGTCTGGTTTTCATGAAGGGCAGGGTACTACTACAGCACTGATTAACATCACCGATGATATTAGATCTGCTTGTGATAAGCGTTGTGTTACCTTGCTAGTGTAACTTGATTTTAGTAAGGCCTTTGATTCTGTGGTCTATGCCCTCCTGTTAACTAGGCTTCCTGCTATTGGTTTTACCTCTTCTTGTGTGTCTTGATTCCAGTGACATCAAATGTGGAGTTCCCCAGGGCAGTGTGCTGGGTCCTTTGCTATTCTCAATTTTCATAAATAGTATTAGTGATGGTATCTCGTGTAACTATCATTTGTATGCAGATGACCTTCAACTTTATATTTCGTCAACTGTTTACAACCTCCCAGATGCTGTGTTGCATCTTAACAACGATTTCTCTAGCGTGCTTGACTGGTCAAGACATCATGGACATAACCTGAATCCAGATAAAACGCAAGCCATTGCATTTGGCACTCGCTCCTTGCTGGCACAATTTAATACCTTAACAACTTAGGCTTGGCGACACCGTTATTCCGTTTTCTAATACGGTCAAAAATCTTGGTGTGGTAATGGATTCGGCGATGTCTTGGCGGCCACAAGTTCAGGGAGTCTGTAAGAGGGTTTACTTCTGTTTCCATACTTTGAAAAAACTTCGCTGCTACCACTACTATTCTCTCATTTTCCCACACATTGATTATGCCGATGGTGCGTATCTCGATCTGTCCGCAGCTCTTCGGGGTAAATTAGAAAGACTTCTGAACAATTGTAAACGGTAGATTTTTGATTTAGGAAAGTTTCAGCACATGACTCCATATCGTAACAATCTGCAGATGATGATTTGCCAGAGTCGTAGATCATTTCGTATGCTTACTATGTTGTACAAAATAGTCCATACCCGCACTCCTGCTTATTTGTCTGATGCCTTTTACTTTTTAGCATCACATGACTTGCCCACTTGATCAATGTCGGACTCTACACTCATGTTTCCAGTCCATAGTACTGAAATCTACCACAGATCTTTTACAGTGCAGTCGATTGCGTTGTGGAACGACTTGCCTGCCGTTGTTCGCAATGCAGCTAGTTTAATAGGTCTTAAAAATGCCTTGAGGCACCATCTGCTATCTCTTCAACTATCTTCTAACTCAAATATGCTCATTCGCTCAGTCTTATTAGCACATCATTTGGTATTAATTTTTTGGTAGCCATAATTAATTATTTAAAATTACATATACACTGTTACCAGTTGGATTTTTAGAAGATATCGCTTATTGCGATAAATTGATCCCGTTGCATTGATGTCTATATTTGTTATGAATGTATATATATTTATGTAAATATTTGTTTTTGAGGGAATAAACATTATTATTATTATTATTAAACAAATCGATCAGCTCAGTGATGTGTTCTTAATTTTGAACTTATTTTATAATGAATAAAGTTTAAATTATCCTGCAAAAACAATTTATAAGAAACCAGTAAAATTTGGATATATGTATAAACTGGATGGTAAGTAGCTCTTTTGGGTATTGCTAAGGATTTGATGTGTATTGTGGCAAAAAACATATTGAAACCGCAGATTGGGGAACACCACTTGGAGTTAAATGGTTCTACACTTTACAAAATACATTCCTAACTCAACAAACCACAACTTTTTTTCGATAATTAGGTATTTCACATCGTATCCTCTTATGGTACTTGAAAGAAAAAGGTATAAGAGCCACCGGAACAGTACGAGAAAATAGATTACAAAATGCCCAATAATGGACCCACAAACTATGAAATAAATAGACAAAGGATCATCACATTATAGGTTTGATCTACAAAATCAAATTTGGTGTGTCAAATGGAAAGACAACAACGTTGTTCTAAGTTTGACCAATTTTGACACAGTTGTACTATTTCAGTACGTGAAACGTTGGTCTAAATCTACAAAATCAAAAGAAAACATTCCCCAGCAAAAATTATTTTCTACAAGATCAATGTATTTCGTTGTATAGGGTTGGCGTAAAGGTTTTGTTTACCTACTTCTTAGATATGATTATTGCAAATGCCTGAAGAGTGCATCAAATTTTTTCAGAAATAAATATGCATCAGTTAGAGTTTCGTCGAAGTATCGTAAGAAGTTACTTGAGGGATAACTCGGTATCAAAGGTTCAACGTGGATCCAGCGTTGAAACTTGAGACCCACATTTCGCGGAAAGACTTGATAGATAATTGAAGTGCTGCGTATATCACATAAAAGATAGGTGGTCATGTGAAAACCTATCGTCCTGATATGAGACCGGGTGTTTTTTATAAGAATTTATTATATATCTTTTGTATTTCTTAATATAGTTTCACTAATAATCCGATTTTTATTTGCTTTGTCGATTTTTATTCATCAATTTTCTTTAGGCGTTAATGGGTTAAAAACCATTCATTTTTCGAGGAATTTTAGAGAGACAGAAAAATTCCAGCATACTTGCACCTACATGGGAGATATTTTTACAATGTTTTCATTGTCAGTAAAAAAATGTGAATTGTTGACATTTTTTGTTAACACAAAAATTAACATGTTTAATCATTTACAAAGAAAAGGTAAACGTAGAAGATGATACATAATACAAAACTGGGTTATATGTGGTATGTAAAATTTAACTAATCTACGTATTATTGAATAACCGTTTATAAATAAATATGATCAGAATCAAATAAAATGTTAATCAATTCTACTTACCATTTTCTCTAACATTACTTTGACCATTCGATTCATATTGACTACCTAAATAATTTTGATTAATACCGCGTAATTTTTTAAAATCACTACCTTCACCAATTCCAAATCTTGATTTTCCTAAAGTTTGTTCATCAGCATTTTGTTGGCGACCATTACTTTCCCTGACAACTTTCGATTGGTATTTCCGATACATTTCCCGCCCATCTCGATCGGATTGTTTCATATAAAACAAATTATCTGATTTTCCCCCTAAATCATGTCGCTTAGCATTATCCTTAGAAAATTTTTCCTTGATATTCGTCCGGGGACACTGAACAGCATCCATTAAAAATGCTGGGTCACTAGGACCCACCTTTGGTTCTAATTGTTCCATATCCGGTTGTCTTTCAGCGTTTTTTTGGGCGTCGCATGAACAACAATAACCACCGCTGAAAGGAATAACGCGTCCTTGATATTTTACTAATCCGCATGTTGGTCGTTTATCATCCATATAACAGCCAGTAAAATTACCATCGTGTTTGTTATAAACTTGCTCTCTAGCTTCGGAATTAACGAAATCCAAAAATTTTAATGGATATGTTTGACTCACGTGATCTTGTTTTAATTTAATAACATACGGATTTAAAATTCTTACAGTCATCGATGAAATCGGATCATAAACGTGATCGATAACTATAAATTGACTTCGAGTATTCGTTTCACCCTCGTTTTTGATTTTCATCGTAAGTATTAATTTTTTATTACATTTCGTCACTTCAGATTGAACCAAAGGTTCGTCTTCATCAAATCCCTGAAAACGTGTTAATCGTTCTGTATTCCCTTGATATAGGGGTTTATTCATTTTACGTCGTTTTGTACAATATGTTGGTGGATTTGTACATCTCGCCATTACGGCTCTTATTTCGATGTTTGGCGGAGGTGGTAATTTTTTACAACATCGCATTTTTTTCGCGCAACATTGAGCTTTACGAGCTTCGTTATCGAGTTGTTTATGTAATGCTGGTCCGGCGAATTTATCAGCAACCAAACCTGAGTATTCATTTCCGTTTGTGTAAATATTTAAATATATTGGTAGAAAAAGGTATAAAGATTTCATTTCTGTCGAATTTTGACAGAAGTTTGACGGTTTAATATTTAATTTTTTTGGGTTAATTTAAATATTTGGTTTCATTATTTAAAGTTCATCCTATTATATTACATTACATAAATTACATATTGTGTAGGCGGACCAACCAAATTCTGTATGTGTGTACTGTGTATGCCTCTACCACCGGGTCCTCCATCTTTATAAGCCACCTTACCTTTATAACAAAATAAGTTTTCGCGGAGATGTACACACTGTAAATATTAGATTTAAAGGGAGATTATCTCCACCTATTTTTCATACAGCTTTTTTCAAAAAGTCATTTTCCTATCAGTTCGCCAAGACAATGAATGAACTTCCTCTTGAGTGGACAGTGTGTGCATCATCAAAAATTACTTTTAAAAGACACGTCACGTTTGTAGAAATGGCTTTGCACCTGCATAATGTTTTTTTGTTGTATGTTAATGCGCATTCTATTAATGTTTAAATACTCTATGGTATGGTGCAAGAAAGAACAATATGAGTTGAACCATGCCATAAGATTGTTCTCATGTATGAATTTTTTATTTTTATTATTGGTAATTATTGAATTTACTTCTCTGTTTATTTCTGTTTTTTCTTCTATTATTTTCAATGATTTATTACAATGATTTTTTTTGTATGCTATGAGAACAATAAAGCAATTTATTATTATTATTATTATTATTATTGTACCCCGATAGATAACGTTATCAGATTTCACTGTGCAGTCCATTTTTAACGAATATTAATACCTAGCATACCTAGCTCGGTAAAAAGTCATTCAAATCCTTTGGCGAGATAAACTGCTACCCAAAAATTGAGAATCTGATACGATTAACAGCAGGACAGTGGCACAAAACATGCTCAACGTCAAAACAATGCTCCTAGTCCTCCGCACATCGTTGACATTCAACATCGTCTGCTAGACCCAAGTTAGTAGACACAAGTTGAGGTGTGTTTTTAATCGACAGTGTTAAGTAAAGACACCCATTAGCACTTTAATGCTGCTACGAGCAATTCCTAAAATATTCCCGGGTTTGACAGTGGATATGTTAACAAACATCTTAGCATGTCTCATTCCAGGAGAACTGGTCCACAGTAAGCAAAGTCTCTCTTCAGCCCACAGTCCAATCCTATGTTTGGCCATCGCAAATGATGCACCAACTGCTGGCTCTGGCCCCATAAATGCTTTAGCGCTACCCTCTCGTACTAGCCTATCTGCCGTTTCATTGCCAGCAACCCCAGAGAGACCTGGGACACAGATCAGAGAAACTGTTATCACAACTCTGTGCGTTTAATGTTCTTTTACAGTCATTAACCAGACTCGACACCGTTTTCACGGCCTGCAGCACCTGGAGACTGTCTGAGCTAAATTGTACTGTTATGTTCTTCACCCCTNATTTACTTCTCTGTTTATTTTTGTTTTTTCTTCTATTATTTTCAATGATTTATTACAATGATTTTTTTTGTATGCTATGAGAACAATAAAGCAATTTATTATTATTATTATTATTGTACCCCGATAGATAACGTTATCAGACTTCGCTGTGCAGTCCATTTTTAACGAATACCTACCTCGGTAAAAAGTCATTCAAATCCTTTGGCAAGATAAACTGCTTGAACCCAAAAATTGAGGCTCTGATACGATTAACAGCAGCACAGTGGCACAAAACATGCTCAACGTCAAAACAATGCTCCTAGTCCTCCGCACATAGTTGGCATTCAACATCGTCGGCTAGACCCAAGTTAGTAGACGCAAGTTGAGGTGTGTTTTTAATCGACAGTGCCAAGTAAAGACACCCATTAGCACTTTAATGCTGCTACGAGCAAGTCCTAAAATATTCCCGGGTTTGACAGTGGTGATGTTAATATACACCTTAGCATGTCTCATTCCAGGAGAACTGGTTCACAGTAAGTGAAGTTTCTCTTCAGCCCACAGTCCAATCCTATGTTTGGCCATCGCAAATGATGCACCAACTGCTGGCTCTGGCCCCATAAATGCTTTAGCGCTACCCTCTCGTACTAGCCTATCTGCCGTTTCATTGCCAGCAACCCCAGAGTGACCTGGGACACAGATCAGAGAAACTGTTATCACAACTCTGTGCGTTTAATGTTCTTTTACAGTCATTAACCAGACTCGACACCGTTTTCACGGCCTGCAGCACCTGGAGACTGTCTGAGCTAAATTGTACTGTTATGTTCTTCACCCCTCTCTCAAGAAGGATTTTAGCATCCCTGTCAATAGCAAATACTTCCGCTTGGAATACAATGTAGTACGTACTCAGGCTGTAAGCTTGCTTAATCCGAGGTGTCTAGCAGTATACTCGTGCCCCGACCCCTTCCGGTGTTTTTGATCCATCTGTGAACATGCAAATATCTCTTGCGATCTTCGATTCTAGGTTCATCGTAATGGTCGAAAGAAACAATTTGAGAAAACGATGAAAATATATTTATTACAAAATATTTAAGATCAGTGCTTTTTTTTTTTTTTTTAACGATGAAAATATATTTAAGATCAGTGCTACTAGTTTCGGGAGTAACTTCTCTCTTCTTCTGGCACGACTGAAATGTACAAATTATTTGTTATTATTAAAATTAACTAGATAATAGGATGTTAATAGTTACCGCCAAATTACGAGATATTAGTCAGAGAGTAAAATTCAATTAACATCTCACAGGAACCACGAGGAAAAGTATAGAAAATACGACACATTGAACAACCTCTAAAGTTTAAATTCCAAAAATTCCAACTTATTAACAAGGTTAAAAGCCTGATATAACAAAAGAATTTAAGAATTAATTTTAAAACATGATTTTCATCGTTAAAGAAAAGCCAAAAAAGTTTGAACGTTCCAAAATTGAAGCTGAAAAGATAAATTTATAAGGATTTATGATGGAAGCTTAGAAAAAGTTAACCTACTAATACAAAATTTTTGAAATTGTTGATAAACCAAAAAACTAAAAAATTATTGAGAGTCCATCTGGTGCGTAAGAATATCTATCGAGGACCTCGAGGACTGAGTGTGAAGAACCGCATGGCGTACGAGTATAGTTTAGCGCATGATCGGGAGATAAGATAAGAAAGGGATCTCAATGAAGTTGCAATATTTAAAAAACCTTAAAATATTTAAATATAAACGCGTGGAATTAAATAAACATAGTAAAGTGTCTAAAGACATTGTGATCTAGAGTGTCATTGATGAGTTTATCTTCTTTGTTAAGAATGTTAATGTATAATTCTTCATAGAGATCCATTTTTTTGGACTTTTTAATGTTTTTCAATAGTTTACAATTAACGAACTTAATGTTATGGTTATATTTACTGATATGTTTATGGACTGCAGAGGTATTTTTGGAAATATGTTCTTTAAATCTGGTGTTGATATTACGTCCTGTTTGGCCGACGTAGGTTCTATCGCAGTCCGGACAATCAATTCTGTAAACACCACTAAGTTCCTCGCTCTTAAATACGTGTTTGTTATTAATTAAACGACTATGAATTTTATTTCGGAATACAAAAGCAGGGGTGATGCCAAATTTCTTAAGATTACGTGAAAGGGGGTTGTTAGTGATCGAGGGAACGTAAGGTAACACAACAAAACTGGTTTTCAATTTGTGGTGAGGATATATAATTTTATTTAGTTGTGAATTATGTACTTTGTAAAAAATGTTTTGGATGTCAGCTAGGGAAAAGTCATTGTTGAAACCAATTTTAATTATTCTTTTAACTTCTGAAACAAGATTAATGTAGTTTAGGGGGACATTATATAAACGATTAAAGAAGAACCTAAAGGCTGCTAATTTGTGTTGATCACATGTAAAGGAGTTCTTTTGAATAATACTATCAGTAGTGGTGGGTTTTCTAAATATGTTGAATTGTAATTTATTTAGGATGACATTTCTGTGTATTTGTAGATCTAAGAAGTTAAGTGTTTGATTACTTTCCGATTCTATTGTAAAGTTTAAGTTATTGATATTATTGAAAATGTTAAAAAGTGCCGATAACTTTGCAGAGTTACCCTCGTAGATACTGAAGATATCATCAACATGCCTTGCATCAAATTTGATGTCTCTAATGAAAAGGTTGTATTTGGATGAAAAAAGTTCTTTTTCGAATTCGTTTACAAAGATGTCTGAAAGTATACCAGAGATGGGAGAACCCGTAGGTAAACCGTCCATCATTTTATAAAACTTATTATTGAATGTGAAAAAATTCTGATTACAAATTATCTCAAGAAGATCAATGAAGCATGAAATTTCTAAAATGTTAAGGTTATTCAAATCTTGTGATTTTATAAGATGTTTTTTGACAAAATCTAAAGTTTGTGATATAGGAACATTTGAGTAGAGATTTTTTATATCAAAAGAAATTAATTTACAATTTTTATTAAGGTTGAAATTTTTGAGTCTATTAATCAAATCTGAAGAGTTTTTTATGGTGTTAGAAAATAGAGGGTTAAAATGGTGATAAAGAAAGGTTTGAGCGATTTTTGAAATTTTACTAGTAGGAGTATTAATGTTACCTATGATAGGACGGATGCTTTTCTCAGGTTTATGTAGTTTAATGAGACTCTTCAAACAAGNTCTGGTGCGTAAGAATATCTATCGAGGACTGAGTGTGAAGAACCGCATGGCGTACGAGTATAGTTTAGCGCATGATCGGGAGATAAGATAAGAAAGGGATCTCAATGAAGTTGCAATATTTAAAAAACCTTAAAATATTTAAATATAAACGCGTGGAATTAAATAAACATAGTAAAGTGTCTAAAGACATTGTGATCTAGAGTGTCATTGATGAGTTTATCTTCTTTGTTAAGAAGATGTTAATGTATAATTCTTCATAGAGATCCATCTCTTTGGACTTTTTAATGTTTTTCAATAGTTTACAATTAACGAACTTAATGTTATGGTTATATTTACTGATATGTTTATAGACTGCAGAGGTATTTTTGGAAATATGTTCTTTAAATCTGGTATTGATATTACGTCCTCTTTGGCCGACGTAGG